GAGCTGCTGGCCATCCGCTTCCTCAACGCCGAAAGTAAGCAGGAGGGGGGCGGGCCTGCTGCTGTCGCCGGTGTTAGTGTAGCAGTTGGTTGCAAACAGAAACAACTGTTGCTTTTCAGGGATAAGTGATGGTAATTGGGAAGCTGTGGCGGCAATTGTTACCACCTTGTATCTGGTGGGCCCTCAAGGAAGGGATCTAAGTGCAGTCAAGCCAGGTGCCCTTCAGTCCGGCAGGGCCTTTCCCTCTTCCCCTCGAAGGAGGCTGCACCAGCGGGTTTCCCTTCCCCGTCACCTGGTGCCAGCAGGGGCTGTGCCAAGATCCACAGGCTTAGGCTGATCTCTCCCCCGCTTGGGTGTCTTTTTAGCCCAGATGTCAAAGCTGTGGCCAGTGGGCCCTGCAGAAGTTGGGTGGGTGCTGGAGCTCAGCGGCCCGGTAGCTCACTGGAGGTGTGAGTGGACCTCAATTCTGCCCCAAGAAAGGGGGCCTCTCCAGCAGCCACGTCACCATGAGTGGAGAGCGGAGCACCTGGGCGGAGGCCCTGGCCCTTGGTTGCATGAGACCATCACACTGCTGCTGTGTCCACATTGTTCCAGAGTCAGATGGAAGGAGATAGCTCAGCATCACCACCAGCCTCTGGAGGGACCTAAGAAACAGTCACTGCACAGTCTGGACAGACGTGCACCCAGGGTCATGTCAGATGGCCCAACTTGTCAGAATGGCCATGGCACAGGCCCTGAGCCAGCCCTGGCTCTTCACAGCTGCTGGACTTGTCCCCTTCCCTTCTCAGGGTTCTGAGGAAGTCTCTTCTTTCTGCAGATGCACAGAAATTCAAGACAAAGTTTGAAGAATGCAGGAAAGAGATCGAAGAGAGAGAAAAGAAAGGTAACGGGGTGCTCGTGGATGCGGGGCCTCTTTGCAGACTCACTCTGCACCCGGCTGCAGTCCCAGGCAGGTGCTTTTTCTGTCTGCCACAGAAACATTCCGGGGGCTGCGGCCACCTTGCCCTGTGGAGGGTGATGCAGCTGCCTGGGGACATGGTGCTTTCTGGGGAGTGAGCTGGCCATCCAGGCCCCCGCGCATGCTCAGTGGCCTGGCCTCACTGCACTCGGGCAGGTGGACAGGTCCCAGTGTCTGACTGAATGGACTCTGAGAGGTCCTCATGGCCATTTGCTTATTCAGGGCCTGATAATGGCTGCCATAGCCCGTGACCAGACACAAGTGAGCAGAGCGCCTGAGGTCCCAGATGTGTGGTGGGTGGAGACATGCGATAGAACAACAGCCCGGCCTGCGGGGAGTGTGTCAGGCTCCCAAGAGGCAGGTGCATCTCGCCTCAGCATGGCTGGGGAGAATGGGCTTCTCTTTTCTTACTGTGTCCCCGTGTTTCAGGAGGATCGGGCAAAAACGATAATGCCGAGAAAGTGGCTGAAAAGCTAGAAGCTCTTACGGTGGAGGAGAAAAAGGAGTCCGAAGAGGAGGAGACCAAGGAGAAAGCTGAGGAGAAGCAATAAGTCCTCTGCCCTTGTTTTCTGTTCCTTTTTCCTTTTTTAAAAAATTTGCCCTGCCCCTTCTTTTCGGTTTGTTTTTATTCTGTTTTGTTTTTACAAGGGACTTTATATAAAGAACTGAATTCCAACATTCAGGTGGCTTTTTTTTTTTTTTTTTTTTTTTTTTAAGTTTTTTTGCCCCATCGAAGACGACCAGAAAATCCATTCCCCAGTCATGAAAATGTACTGTGCTAACTTTCTTTTCCATAGTGGAAACACTTATTTATAGTCATCAAACATAGTGAATAAACAACTCATTCGAAACCTTCACGGAGGGCAGGGCCTCGTGTGCGCCGGCCCTGTCCTGGCAGCTGTGTGGGTTCCTGCTGGCTCCATGGTGTTGGGGTGGCCCTCTGGGTCTGCCCCTGCTGGTTACACTTGTTCTGCTCTGGACTCTGGCCCACTGTTGGCTACTGGGGCCTTGGTATGTCTGAGCTGGTACTAGTGGGGCAACTGGGCTGAGGGAAACCAGTGCTGGGTACTGCCTCCTGAAGGCCAGGCGGTGAGTAGATAGGATTTTTTTCTTCTGCCTTTGGGGAAGAGAAAGGAAGATCACCAGATTCCTTGGCTGTGGTACAGGTGTCCAAGCAGGTCTCCAGGCTTCGGCTAAGCTGTCTCTAGTCAGCCCTCAGCCAGGGAAAGGCCGGTACCACAGCACCCAATCCAGGCTGTTGCATTGCCTCGGCCCCACTGCCATCGACAGAGAAATCCACTTGTTCCCAGCATCCCTCTGGGTGGATTACGGACATCTGTGATGGCTTTAAATAAAAGGATGCTTTCAAGAATGCAAATGGGTTAGTGCCATTTGGGGGTCTGTCTTGTAGATGGGCTGCCTCTGTAAAACCATCCTGCGCAAGGGGGGATTTTTAGTGTGCCGGCAGGCTTTTGAAAACACACGGTCTTACCTGGGACGGTATGTTCCTGGCAAATAACCAGGCCTCCGGGAGCTGTGGCCTCCCACCCTCCAGCAGGGGAGGAGCAGATTCGTGCCCGCCCAGAGGGGATGTGCTCACGCCGCCCGGGGCTGTTTGACAGTAACACCCACCGGAGGCGCTTGATCCTGTGGCTACGTCTACTGGGCCCTGTGTCCTGTGATGTCTGTCCAGTCTAAACCGGCCGTGGTCACTGAGGGATGCACTCCAAAGGAAGCCACTGGTTTTAAAGCTAAAGACTTCGTGGGCCAGCTTTGCGGTGTCCTGGTAGTCTTGGGCCTTGGCACAGGTTGGTGCAGTGCTTTTTCCCACCCGAGGAAGGACACTGGGTGTGCACCACCTGAACCGAAGTGGTGATGCTGTGAGGGGCAGTGCCCCTTCCCAAGAGGCCTCTGCTGGGTGCACTGTGTGAGAGGTCCCAGGGCCGTGACTTTCGGGGAGGGTGGCCAGACATGCCTTCAGCACAGAGTGGATTGCTCCTGCTTTGGGCTCCTATGAAAGCTAACCCCACTGATGTCAACCCCAGGCTGACTTCCTGGGTGAGGAGAAGTGTCTCAGGCGGGAAGGCCTCAGGATCACTGGAGGAGGGGGTGCTGTGACCAGCTGTGCATTTAAAGGTGCGGCTGTTCACACTGCAGAAGGTGCTGCAAAGGGAGGCATGCGAGTATGAGCAAGGACACCAGCAGGGGCCCCTTTAGCCCCCTCACTCCCTGCCCCCAGCCAGTGTGGCACAGGTGGGGCTGAGCCAGAATTGAGGTGCTAACTACTGGGGAAGAAGAGGAGGTGACCTATAATTTTCCCATTCCTGCAGGTGGGAAGCGGGGGTGGGGTGGGAAAGTTGCACTTCCCTTTCCCTGGGATCTTACCTCCTTGGGTAGAGGATTTCTGGGCTGTGGCCTCACTGGGTCCACCCCACCCCGCTCCCCCTCTGCAGGGACCTCAGCAAAGACATGAGAGGCCTTTCCTCCTATGCCCAGCACTTGGCACTCCACGGCTGACCTGGCACCCTACACAAAGCAGGGCCCTGCTTTGGGGGCAGTGGGTGAGTCGTTGGGAGCAGCCTATGTCCATGCCCTGTTACCAGAAGTTGGGGTGCGGGGTGGGGGATGCATTCATGCCCTATACAGGGCTGCAGAAGGGCAAGAACAAAGGTGAAGTGGTGGGGCAGGGTTTGGCCGGAGTGGTGTCCCCTGTCCCCAGGGCCTATTTGTATTAGGACTGTAGGGCTACGACTTTTCAGCTAGGCTTGAGGAGGGGTCTGCTCCAAGGGGGGGTGGTGGTCTGTCCTTTGTCCCTCTTTGTGCCTTGAATCCACCCCACTGCCCCAGACCCTATCATAGAGCTAGTCCCCCACGGGCCAGGCCTCCCTGGATGTGGAAGGCACATCACCATATCTGCTGTCAAGCTGCATTACCGCTGAGGTCTGGCCCCCATCCAGGGCTCCTTAAAGCAGCCTGCATGCAGCCTGTGCGGCTGGGGCCTTAAGGCCCACCTACCGGCTTGGAGGGGCTGTTGGTTGGCCCAGGAGCCACCGGGCCTGCGTCCGCGTGGCCGGAGGAGACTGTCGCAGAGGCACTTGGTGCTCACTGCGGAGGCCTTGGAGCTCGATGGAAGTCCCCACCTCCCACAGGCGCTGGGCTCGCTACCCAGACGGTCCCGCCCACCCCGCACCGGCTCTGCCAGGCGGCGGGTCCACCTTAAGCGGCGGCGGCAGGGGCGGGGGGATTTCCTGCCGGAGGCGGGCCTGACCACGGGCCTATCCCACGCAGGGGCAGAGTGCCCGGGGCTTCCAGAGGGGCACTCCACCCTGCCCCGGGAGGCCGAGGGACTCGCCTGGCCCCGGGCCTTTGACCCACCCACACTCCCAGCCTGCAGCTTGGGCCTGGAGGCCAGGGACCAACTCCCCCTGCCCTTAGGCTGTCCTGTCCGCTAGCGGACCTCCTCCGGCCAAGTGGCCCGAGGGCTGAGCGGTGGGAAGGAGGAGATACACAACCACGGTGCCCGGGCTGGGTCACCACTGACCCCCTCGTGGCGGGGGGAGGGGGGGCTCCCGATGAGACGGGCCTGGCGCTATGGAGCATGGCACGGAGCAGGGGCACCCGCCTGCCCGCAGGGACACGCTTCTCCGGGCTGCTTAGGGAGAGGTCTGCGGACTGGACACAGGGTGCCCGGTGGCCTCCGCCGTGTCCAGCTGGTGGGCATGGTTTTGCAGGGGTGCCGCGGCTGTGCTGTGCGGCTCCGGAGAGCCGCGGGCACTCGCTAGACCGGGGCACCCAAGCGAGGGGAGGCCCGCTATCTGAGGGTGCAGGGCCCGGGGCAGCGGGAGCTCGGGAGTCCCAGGCTTTGGGGGCGGCTCCCGCAGCCGGCATCCTCCAGAGGGCGTGGCGGTGGGGCGGGGCGTCCTCCCGGTCCTAGGGCCCCGCCCCGCGCCGCGCCCCCCGCCGCCCGGTCCACCTTAAAGGGCGCGCTGACATCAGTGCGCCGCCGCCGCCGCCCCGCCCCGGGGGTGGGATTTCCTCCTCCGCCGCCGCCGCCGCCGCCGCCGCTGCCGCCGCGGGTCCTGCGCCGCGTCCAACCCGCCCCGCCGACCCCGGCACGACCCCGCCGGCCCCGCCCGCCAGGCCCCGGGGAGGGATGCGGCGGCGCGGCGCCCAGGATGCCCCGCAGCCCCGGGACGCGCCTCAAACCCGCCAAGTACATCCCCGTGGCCACCGCCGCCGCGCTGCTCATCGGCTCCAGCACCCTGTTCTTCGTGTTCACGTGAGTCCGCCGGGGCGCAGGGGCCGCGGCCCGGCCAGGAGGGGTGGTAGGGACCGGGCGCAGGGACCCGGCACAGGGGGCTGGGCAGGACAGGGCTGGCACCCAGGGCTCTGGGCAACGGGAGCCCCACCGTGGGCTGAGGCCGTGGAGGTGCCTGTCCTGGGCACCCGGGAAAGGTGAGTCCTGTGTGTGTGTGTGTGGGGGGGACACCAGTGCCTAGGGGGCACCTAAGGAGTGTGCCAGGCAGGCCCCGGGCGTGAGCCCCCTGGGCCTGGACAGGAGAGTGTGGGCAGCGGCTGCCCAGGGTGTGGCTGCAGCCCTCCCCTCCCCGCAGGCTTCAGGAGGGGGACGTGGGCTGCCCAGAGCCACCAGCCCTTCCTGCAAGGAGCTGAGGCCGCCTCTGAGGGTCCCCTCTCCTGGCTGGCTGGCCGGCCGGGGCCGGAGCCAAGTTGCTCCTGAGGAGGTGTGGTCTCTAGCCCCTCTGCCACCGGCCTGCCCCCACGGCCCCCGGTGACACCGGCGTGGCGGTCCCCTCCTCCCTTCCCTGACCTTCACGGGAAAGCCCAGTGATCGCAGCCGGAGGGCCTGGGCCAGGCCACACCCAGGGACACTGGCCCCGGCGGGCTCTGGAGCCCTGAGGCGGAGGGCAGGCTGGGCGCTGGGCTTTGGCAGCTTTAGACACAGGCCGGCTCACAGGTCAGCTCCGTGCCCACGATCATAGCACCCTCCCGCCCCCAGGTCTCCTCTGGCACAAGGGGGGATTGGGGGCTTCAGACTTCAGCCATGCGGGTCGGTGACCACCCCCTTCCGCTCGTCCCAGGCTTAGACACAGCTCTGGGGACCGAAGCAGCCTGGGGACATGAAGCCAGGGACCTCTGTTCAGAGGCAGGTCAGCCCCCCTCCGCCCCGAGAGAGAGTGCACCTGGGGCAGGGTGGGCAGGGGGCCGGCCTGGCACCCTTCACATGAGCAGCGTGGCTGCTGGCTGCCTGGCGCTCGCCGAGGCTGCGCCGGGTGTCCATGGAGGCGGGCGAGCCCTCTACCTGGACTCCGGCGCTGGGTAGGTGCCACTGGCTGCCGGGAGCGTGTTTAAAAAAGGCCCGTGTGGTGTGTGGACGGGCTTATTTCTGGCTTTGGTGAGCAGGCGGATTCTTGTCACTCAGAAGCTGCTGGCTGTGGGGCAGAGAGGAGAGGGGCAGGTGGGCAGCAGGCACCGGAAGAGCGGGGCGGGGAGGGGGGCGGCGGCGGGTCCTTCTGGGGCTCCTGCAGGGGTGGGGCCTGGCACTGGGTCAGGGTGGAAGGTTCGAGGGGCGGGGGGGGGGGGGCTCCTGCTTGACCATCTCAGGTTCTCATTTCCTACGTGCACTTCAGCTTTTTTTTTTTTTTCCTCCCAACTTTCAAAGTCATACCTGCTCTCTATGGAGAACTTGTGAAATGCAGGGAAAGAAAAAAAAAGACATTGAGATGGACCTCACGCCAGAGGGCCCTTGTCTGTTTCTGTGGACTCCCCTGGCCTTGCCGAAGGATGCCTGTCCTGAGGTTGTGACCTCAGAGGCTCTTGCTTCCTGTCCTGGGGACCTGACCCTCCTCGAGGCAGTGGGCTCCAAGGCCGCGCAGCCTCTGCACCCTGCCCCGGGCCAGCCTCCCTCTGTGCTCACAGATGCGGTCTGGATTCAGGGGCGTCCTGCTAGGAGGAGGTGCAGGGTTCCTTTGGGGTACCCTGTGTGTGGCTGTGTCCCTGTGGCAGGATGGGGACCCGGGGCACTGGTCGGGGTCCAGGTGGAGTGGCCACCTAGCAGAGGGAGCCTCGCTCATCCCCAGGACTGGGCTCCCCAGTAGCCCGACCCCGAGGCCACATTGTTTGCACCGAATGAACCCTGGCCTGCCCCTGCCCCTGCCCCTGCCCCTGCCCCTGCCCTGGGAGCTGGGTTCCCGAGCAAAGGGGCTCTGTGGGACAGGCCTGGCCCATGAATGCTGGCACAGTCTGCCAGTTCTGGGCAAGCAGGGGTCCAGGCGGTCCCCTTCTTAGGACTTTCATCGGCCCAGACCCCATGCTTCTGCCCGGGTCTGCCTGGGCCTGCCCCGGACTCAGACACGTGCTTCCCTGTCCCTCTCCCCACCCTTAGGCCCGCAGGGCTGTCTCCTCTGCCTTTGATCCTCGGACTTCCCTGGATGCCGAGGGCCCCGGGCCCCCCCGCGCTGCACGCGGTAAACATGAGATGCCCCTGTAGGGCAGGTCCACACAGGCAGCAGCTCCTGGGGTCATGCGAGGCGAGGAGCCGGCGCCTGGAGGACCCAGGCCAGCTCGCCGAGGGGGCTGGGGCCAGCAGCACGTTCAGACTGGGGCCATGTTGCTAGGATGGTCTGTGCATGGGGAATGTGCCGGGAGGCGGGAGGAGGCCTCATCTGAGGATGGGGAGCACATCATAGGGCAGGTTCCCAGAGGCCCTCCTCTTCCAGGAAGCCTTCCGGGGTTCCTGGGGCAGTGGTGTCCCCATGTGCCCCAGAAGCTCCTCACACTGGCTCAGGGCCAGGCGGGGCCAGGTGGGAGGGTGTGTGGAAGGGCCTGGGCTTTTGCCCCTGCCCCTTACTCCTCCCAGAGCCCCTTTGCAGAAGGACAGGGACCCTGTGAGGATCAGAGGGCTGGGCTTTCTGGGCAGGATACCGATGCCTGGGGCTGGGCCGAGCCATCTTGCCTAGGCCGGGTGTGTGTGTGTGTGTGTGTGTGTGTGTGTGTGTGAGTGAGTTGATTCTGGGATGTCGGGGCTGATTCCCAGGGTGAAGCTGAGCTCTCCCCAGGCTCAGAGGCCCAGACAGGCAGCGAGGCCCAGCCTAAGACAGTGGGAGGGCCAGCCCAGCACCAGGCCAGACCATGGTGAGTCCTGGTGGACAGAGCAGCTGGCAGGGGCATGGGGAGGGGGGACTTGGCGTGAGCCCCTTGCCAGGACTTGCTGCCTGTGGCCCGCCGAGCCTCAGTTTCCCTCTCTGTAGGGATCAGATGGGTGGGGGCACCAGGGCAGAGTGGCCACAGACCGTCTGGTGCTGGGTATCCCTGTGCGTGAACACGGACTCGTAATGACGATCCCAGTCTTAATGAAGATGCCCGAGTGAAACATTTCGGTCCACATTGAACTTCGGTGCACACGTGGCCCCTGCATCACCCCCCACGCCCCTTGGGTGGTGTCTCCCCGTTGGCCTCAGCAGGACCTGGGGCCTCAGCACGGTGGCGGGGGGGGGGGGGGGGGGAGCTCAGAACAGTGGTGTGAGCCCCAGCGCTGGAGATGCAGGGGCTGGTCAGGGGGGAGGGCTCAGAGCTTCAGCTCGTTCCCCCTCCCTCTGGTCTCCCCTGGCCCGAGCTTGGCTGTAGCCAGCAGCGGGCGGCCAGCCTACAGGGCACGGTCCCCTGGGCGGGGGCGGGGTTACTTCCCTGTGGGCAGAGGGGTCCTCCTGGAGCTGAGGACAGACTCAAGGTGGGCTGAGCAGAGCTGCCTGTCAGGTCCTGCCCGGAGCTTGTGTGTCCTCACATATCCTTATGTTTACGTGTCCCAGAGCACAGGGAAGCCGGGTGTGTGTGTGTGTGTGTGTGTGTGTGTGTGTGTGTAAGGGCAGTAAGAGGCAGCCCAGCCTGGGTTGGATGGGGCTGGGTCAGTTGGATGGGGTTGGGGTCACTGGATGGGATCACTGACCCCAGCCCCATCTGCACTTGTGAGAAACGTGTGTTCGCAAGTGCATATGTCTGTGATTATGCAGGTGTGCCTGTGTGGCCATGTATGTGTATTCATGCAGGTGTGCTAGTGTGTGCACAAATGTACCTTGAACACGTGTACATGAGTGTTCACACATGCATGCCTTTTATGCACAATTATGTGTGCACATGTGTCTCTGTGCATGCTTGTTCAGTGCACACTTATGCATCCACACATGCATGTCTCAAATGGAGCGTGTTTGTGCGTCTGTGTGTGTTCTGCGCACGTGTGCATGCACCTGCCTCTGCGTGTTCACCTGGGAACATGCATGTGTCTGTGCACGTGTTTGCATGGGCTCGTTCATCGTCCTCCCTCAGCCCACATGTTTCCTGAGGTGGCTGGGTTCCAGGCCTGGGCAGCCTTGGCCAGTGAGCCATCCCCCTTAAGCGTGAGCCCAGCCTGAGCTCCCCTAACGGCACTTTCTGGTGGGTGCGGGCCCCCTGGGGGAGCCGGGGGTGGGGGACGGGGACAGGATTGCATGGGAGTGCCTAATCTTTGGGTCTGAATCAGCTGGGGGGATGGAGAGGGGAGGCGGAGTGGGCCGTGGCTCAGGTCCCAGTCAGAGGGCCTGCCCCCTCCCAGCCTACCCAGCACCAACCGAGGCCTGCCCCCTCCTGGGTGCGTGCGGCCCCGGCGGTGGGTCGGCGGTGCCCACAGTGGACAGAGACCGCCCAGCGCCTCCATGTCAGCCTGGGCCCATCACAGTGCGATTTCCAAGCCTGGCCCCGTGCTGCCCAGCTACACCCTCCTCCAGCCTCAGGCCTCTCGTCAGGGCCACTGTCCAGCCCCTGCGGCCTGGGCGCACCAAGGCTCAGGGAGGACAGAGCCGTACAGGCTGCCCGGGCCAGTGGGAGCTCTGATCAGCAGAGGGGTGGGGGCTGCCTGGGGTGGGGGCGGGGTTCAGCCTACGTCATGGCTTGAATCCCAGCTCTGACGCAGACTTGCCCCAAGGCCATGGGCATGTGTCGAGCCCTCCGATACCTGCTCCTTGTCTGAAAAACGGAAAGGAGCTGAAGCCGGTTTGGCTCAGTGGATAGAGCCTCAGCCTGCGGACAAAAAGGTCCCAGGTTCGATTCCGGTCAAGGGCATGTACCTTGGTGGCGGATACATCCCCGGTGGGAGGTGTGCAGGAGGCAGCTGATTGGTGTTACTCTCTCTTCCTTCCTCTCTGTAAAAAAATCAATAATATATGTGTGTGTGTGTGTGTGTGTATATATATATATATATATATATATATATATATATATATATTTTTTTTTTTTTTAAATGGGAAGGACGGGCGAGAAGCACCCCACATCTCCAACAGCCGGAGGGCGGCCGGTGGGTCTGGGGTATTCATCAGCCAAACCCGGACACAGTGGTGGGCGGGCTCGCTCTCCAGTCTCCCCCACGTGCCCTGCCTTCAGGGCCCACCTTCCTGCCGCAGCCCTGTCCACCCAGCTCCCGGCCTCAGCCGCCCGGCGCCTCCTGGGCTCCCTCGGCCTCTTCCTTCCGCAGACCAGGCTGCCCCGCCGGCCTCGGGCTGCTCAGGTGCCGCACTGGCTCTGATGCTTCCACTTGTCTTGAAACTCTTCATCCTTTTTTTCTTTTTTTAAATACATTTTATTGATTTTTCACAGAGGGGAAGAGAGAGGGATAGAGAGTTAGAAACATCGATGCGAGAGAGTCATGGATCAGCTGCCTGTTGTACACCCCCTACTGGGGATGTGCCCGCCACCAAGGTACATGCCCTTGACCGGAATCGAACCTGGGACCTTTCAGTCCGCAGGCCGGCGCTCTATCCGCTGAGCCAAACTGGTTTCGGCTCGTCATGCTTTTTTAAAAAATTAATTTCTTTATTGATTAAGGTATCACATATTTGTCCTCAACTCCCCCCTTCCGCCCCCTCCCATTGCAATCCCCCACCCCTCCAACTCTTCACGCTTTTTAATCAAGCGGAACATTTTCATTTTGGCAGAGATGACGTGGCCAGCCCTTCCCAGACGCTGCCACGGGGACCTGGTTCAAAACCCCCTCTCCCCCCGTTTGGGGTCCACAGCGCTCCCCTTCTCCGTGGGCGCCGGGCGTGCGTGAAAAGGCCACCCCCACTGGCATTGGGGCCTGGGCCCCCGCCCCCGCCTTCTGGGCAGACCAGGCCCCAGGGGCCGGAGCACTGTCTGTGTGCTGGGCCTCCGCAGGCAGGGGTGGGGGTGTGGACGGTAGGGAAGGGGTCTGTCGGGGGGTGCTCCAGGCCGCCCGGGAGAGGGGTGGCAGAGGGGGGCCCTCCTGGCGGAGGGAACCCCGTCCCCAGGCTGTGCATCCCCTCCAGGCGGGTCCTTCCTGGATTCGGGGCCGGGCGCTCGGGCTGCGGTGCCAGGCGTGCTGCTGTGGGCAGGCAGGCTTTAAATAGCTGCTCGCTTCCCGCTAAAAATAGCGGCGTTCCCTGCCATGGAGGTGGTTGCCGGGTGGCGGGGCTGGCCTCCGGCCAAGTGGGGCGTGGGTGCGCAGTGTGGCCGGCACTCGCTGGGCGACGGGCAGGGCTCACGGCGGGGCTGCTGCGGGGATCCCCCCTGCCCTGCCCCCCGACTTCGCAGGGAGCCTCGGGACTGGGGAGGGAGCAGCCCCCCGGAGTGTCCCTGCTTGTCCCAGCAGCCAGGGACCCTGGGAGGGAGAGACGGGGAGCCTGAGGCCTGAGGGGCTTGGTGGGTGTGGAGGGAGGGGACTCAGGGACCCGCTGGGAGTTGGGTGGGGCGGGGGCCAGAGGCCGGGGGCCCAGGGACTGGGGGAGAGGTGGGGGCTCTGGTTAGGCCCCAGGAGAACCAAGGAAGAATCTGTCTGTGTCACCGAAACCGGTTTGGCTCAGTGGATAGAGCGCCGGCCTGCGGACTGAAAGGTCCTGGGTTCAATTCCGGTCAAGGGCATGTACCTTGGTTGCGGGCACATCCCCAGTAGGGGGTGTGCAAGAGGCAGCCGATGGATGATTCTCTCATCGATGTTTCTAACTCTCTATCCCTCTCTCTTCCTCTCTGTAAAAAATCAAATAAAAAAAAATATTTATATATACACACACACACACACACACATACATATATGTGTGTGTGTGTGTGTGTGTGTGTATATATATATATATATATATATATATATATATATATATATATGAATCTGTCTATGGCAGAGCACCCATCAGGGAGGTAGGCATGGCCCTTACCGGGCCCTTACCAGGAGTCTGGGAGGGCTTCCTGCAGGAGGGGGCAGCCTTGGAGCCAAGCGGTGATAGATTTCGAAGGGGTGGGGGCGTCGTCCTTTCCTGGAGTCCCCCCCCCCACCCCCGCATTCTGCATGGTCACATGGAGGTGTAGGGGACCCACTGAAAAGGAGGTGCTGCCAGGCGGCCCGGACTCGGAGGTGGGCCCCTCAGGGAAGGGCAGGGACAGCTCCGCGCTGCACTCGCTGGCTGGGAGCCGGGGCTCCTGGCACCCGAGGGTGCCCGCGCTCAGGGGCCCCGCCGGGCAGGGACAGGTGCGGGTGAGGACGGACGTGGCCTGAGCCACCTGGCGGGGCCCTGGCCTCTGCCAGTCACGGTGCATGGACAGGGCGGGGAGCCTGGGAGAGACGCTCTGGTCACCCCTCCTCTAAGCCGTGCCACCCCAGGCCCGTGGGCCTCTCTGAACCTCCGTTTCCTCAGCTGTGAGTTAAAGTCCCAGCAGCCACCAGGAGGCTTGCTGGGGTTAGAGCTGGCACACGGAGTTCATGCCCCATGCTCAGTGGGTATGGCCCGATGGTTGAACAAAGGACAGGTGAGCAGGGGTCTTGCAAGTGGCCTTGCAGGCCTGTACATGCGTGTACAGACCTGATTTCTCCGCCCCCGAGTCCCCTCCCCACCCGCCCGCCACACTCCCGGCCCCAGCCCTTGCCCTGCCCCGCCCCCAGGTGCCCGTGGCTGACACACGCCGTGTCCCCGGCCGTCCCCGTCTACAATGGCATCATCTTCCTCTTCGTGCTGGCCAACTTCAGCATGGCCACCTTCATGGACCCCGGCGTCTTCCCCCGAGGTAGGGCCTGTGCCGGCCGGGCCCTCTGTCGCTCTCACTCGGGTGTGAGTGGCTGCCCCCGGGGTGGGGCAGAGTCTTCGGGGAGGGGGTTCCTGCCGGGCGGGCCGGCCGGGATCGGGGAGGGGGCCCTCCCGCCAGGGAAGTCACCTCCCGCCGCCCTCGGCTCCGCCCGCAGCCGATGAGGACGAGGACAAGGAGGACGACTTCCGGGCGCCACTGTACAAGAACGTGGACGTGCGGGGCATCCAGGTCCGCATGAAGTGGTGCGCCACCTGCCACTTCTACCGCCCGCCACGCTGCTCCCACTGCAGCGTCTGCGACAACTGCGTGGAGGTGACTGCCCGTCCCCTCTGTCCCCCCCCCCCCCGCATCCCCCCCCCTCCCTGCCCCCCTACCCCCCACTCCCTCCGTCCCCTCCATCCCCCCGCCCCCCGCCCCCTGCCCCCATCGTCCCCCCCTCTGCCCCTCCCCCGAAATCCCCCCCCCCCCGTTCCCGCCGTCCCCCACCCCCGCATCCCACCCCCCGGGCCCCTGCCCCCACCCCCCCACTCCCTCCGTCCCCTCCGCCCCCCCGCCCCCTCCGTCCCCTCTGCCCCCTCCCCCCGCATCCCCCCCGCCCCGTCCCCTCTGCCCCCTCCCCCCCGCATCCCCCCCGCCCCATCCCCTCCGTCCCCTTCCCCCCGCCCCCTGCCCCCCGGCTGCCCTGACATGCTGCTCCCGCCCAGGACTTCGACCACCACTGCCCCTGGGTCAACAACTGCATCGGCCGTCGCAACTACCGCTACTTCTTCCTGTTCCTGCTGTCGCTCAGCGCCCACATGGTGGGCGTCGTGGCCTTCGGCCTGGTCTACGTGCTGAACCACGCCGAGGGCCTGGGCGCCGCCCACACCACCATCACGTATCCCTGGCCCTGCCGCGGGGCGGTGTGGGCTGGGGGGGGGCACGCTTCTGGGGGAAACGGAGACATGGAGGGGGGCGGCTGCCGGGGATCCCCAGGGTGCGGGCGGGAAGTCTGCCCACGGGCACCTGCTCGGGGTCTCCTCCGCCCTCGGCTGTTGGCCTTAACGGGCCAGCATGGCCGTCATGTGCGTGGCCGGCCTGTTCTTCATCCCCGTCATCGGCCTCACCGGCTTCCACGTGGTGCTGGTCACACGGGGGCGCACGACCAACGAGCAGGTGCCGGCCCTGCGGGCGGGAGGGGGTGCGTGCTGGGACAGGGGTGGGGGTCCCCGATGCCCAGAGGGTCCCTGGGGGGCCGGGGCACGGCTGCAGGTGGGGGTGGGGAGGCTGTGGCCCGGCTTACCCAGGTGGGCGGAGCTCGGCTGCTGCAGCCATGGGGGGACTCGGGGTGCAGAAATTCCACAGCCCCCTGCAGAGACAAGCTGGGGTGACCCTGACCGGCCACCCAGGAGGAACCCCACCCCGCGGTCCGCTGAAGGGCCCCTTGTCCACAGGTGACGGGCAAGTTCCGCGGGGGCGTGAACCCCTTCACCCGCGGCTGCTACGGGAACGTGGAGCATGTGCTGTGCAGCCCCCTGGCCCCCCGGTGAGGCCTGGGCGGGGTGTTGGGCAGCGGGGAGGGGGGCCCTGTGCCCGGGCTCGGGGTGGGCAGCCGCAGACCCTAAGCCCGGTCTACGTCTGCCCCTGGCAGGTGGGGCGGGCCCTGCCCTCGGGGTGCGTGCAGACCGGGCCGGCCCCGCCACTGCCCCCTCTCGTCCGGTGCAGGTACGTGGTGGAGCCGCCGCCCCGGCTGCCGCTCGCCGCGCGCCTGAAGCCGCCCTTCCTTCGGCCCGAGCTCCTGGATCGCGCGCCTCCGCTCAAGGTCAAGCTTAGCGACAACGGGCTGAAGGCTGGCCTGGGCCGGAGCAAGGTGGGGCCCCGGGGTGGGTAGGCGGAGGGGTGAGGCCGCGAGGTTGGAGGGGCCTGGGAAGCACGGAAGGCGGAGGCGTTGGGCACGTTCTGCGGAAGGATCTCCGTCCTGGGGCCCCAGAGAGGCCCGCCCTCCGCCCGCCCTGACCGTGCCCCCTCCCAGTCCAAGGGCAGCCTGGACCGGCTGGACGAGAAGCCGCTGGACCTGGGGCCGCCGCTGCCCCCCAAGCCGGAGGCTGGCACGTTCGGCGGGGACCGGCAGACCCCACGCCCGGGCAGCGCTGGTGAGGCGGGGCCGGCCACGCGAGGGGAGGGGGGTGGGCGGACCCTGGCCTGACCGCGGCCCGTCTCCCCCAGAGAGCGCCCTGTCGGCTCAGAGGACCAGCCCCCCGACGCCCGCCATGTACAAGTTCCGGCCGGCCTTCCCCGCGGGCCCCAAAGCGCCTTTCTGTGGACCCGGCGAGCAGGTGAGGCAGCCCGGCCCGGCGGCCTCACCCCCGGGAGGCCCTGCCGGGGGCACGGAGGGCGCTCGCAGGCCCCCATTGCAGAGGTCGGGCGGGAGCGGCCCAGGGTGTCGTGGGCGGGGCTGGCACCGCGGTCCTGGCCGGCGTTGCCTGCTGGCACGGCGGTAGGCGGCTGCCCCCGGGAGCTGCATGTGCCGGGATGCCAGGAATGGCACCGTTAGTCACGCCGCGAGGCCCACGGGAAGGCTTCGGAGGAATCCGCGATGGTGTGAGAGAGCACATTGTCTGCCCTAGGCTCAGCACTCTGTGCTCGCCTAGGAGCCATCGGCGCCCCGCTCCGGGCTGCCAGGAATTCCCAGGAATTCCCCAAGCGTTCCCAGGCCGGCCGCCCGCCCGCCTTCCCGGCCACTGAGAGGCAGCCCTATGGCTGGACCGGCGCCCCTCGACCTGCGCGCGCGTGCGTGTGTGTGTGTGTGTGTGTGTGTGTGTGTGTGTGTGTGTGTGTCGTCATCCCCCCAAAGCCCCTCTTCTCGGGGCCCACTGGTCTCGGCAATGACTCCAAGCCTCTCTGGCCAGTGTGCAGTGGCCCTGCTTGGCACAGGGATGGGCGTTAGAGGGCCTCATCCAGGGCACCTTCTTGGGGTTGCCTTGGCTCCTACAAAGGGCCTGGGGGGTTCCCCCCGAGGCTGGCCCCTGAGGCCACATTTGTTCCTACCCATGCCCCTTCTGTTTTTTATTTTATTTTATATTTTATTGATTTTTCACAGAGAGGAAGAGAGAGGATAGGGTGTTAGAAACATCGATGAGAAAGAATCATCGATCAGCTGCCTATTGCACACTCCCTACTGGGGATGTGCCCAAAACCAAGGTACACTCCCTTGACTAGAATCAAACCTGGGACCTTTCAGTCTGCAGGCCAACGCTGTATCCACTGAGCCATACCAGTTTCAGCTTTTTTTTTTTTTTTTTTTTTTAATATATATATATATAATTGATTTCAGAGAGGGAAGGAAAGGGAGAGAGAGCTAGAAACATCCATGAGGAGAGAGAATCATTGGTCGGCTGCCTTTTGCACGCTCCCTACTGGGGGTTGAGCCCACGACCCAGGTATGTGCCCTGACCGGGAATTGAACCCTGACCTTGTGGTTCATAGGTTCATAGGTCGACGCTCCACCACGGAGACACGCCAGCTGGGCTCTGTGCTTTGAGGTTTTGCAGGTTCTTGTCCCCAGCCTGAGCCTCGCATCACTTAAGACCCCGTCTGTGTGGCTGTCCCCTGAGCTGGGCGGGCTGCCAGGACACTGACTGCCCTGGGTGTCTGTTGTGGCCAGTTGTGGCCCTGGTGTGCCCCAACACTCAGAGGTGGGATGCTCAGGAGAGGGCCCTGGTCCCTGTGTGGTTAGGACGTCGCCTCAAGGTCCAGCTGCTGAGGCTGTCCCTGCACCCCCATGAGAATACGCGCTGGAGCAGTGTGCACACCCTCCCCTGGGAGATACCCCCTGGGGCTGCTGCTGGCTTCACCCTGTCCTCCACGTCCTCCTCTGGTGGACACGGGGCAGGGATGTGTCCAGGGGATGGCGAGCTTCTGGGACAGCTTGTCAGTTGCCCCTGCCACCACCTCGATGTCACGAAGTGGGCAGCCTCCGTGTGGGCACGGAGTCTTCCGGGGACCGGGGACCGGGGGACCGGGTGGGGCGCGGCGGGTGGGCAGTGGCCGCTGTGCACCCTCTCTCCCCGCAGGTCTCGGGTCCCGACTCCCTGACCCTGGGGGAGGACAGCATCCACAGCCTGGACTTCACCTCGGAGCCCAGCCTGGACCTCCCGGACTTCGCCGCGGGGGGCGGCCTGCACGCCCCCTACGCGCCTTCCCCGCCGCTCGGCGCCGCGGACACCTTCTCGGGGGCCCTGCGCTCCCTGAGCCTCAAGGCGGCCGGCCGGCGGGGCGGGGACCACGTGGCCCTGCAGCCCCTGCGCTCCGAGGGCGGGCCCCCCACGCCCCACCGCGGCGTCTTCGCCCCCCACGCCCTGCCCAACCGCAACGGCAGCCTGTCCTACGACAGCCTGCTGAGCCCCGCCTCACCCGGCGGCCGCGCCTGCCCGGCCCACCCCGCGGCCGGGGGCCTGGCCGGCTACCGCTCGCCCTACCTGCACCCCGGGGACCCCCCGCGGCCCCCGCCCCGCAGCTTCAGCCCCGTGCTGGGCCCCCGGCCCCGGGAGCCCTCGCCCGTGCGCTACGACAACCTGTCCCGGACCATCATGGCCTCCATCCAGGAGCGCAAGGACCGTGAGGAGCGGGAGCGGCTGCTGCGCTCCCAGGCCGACTCGCTCTTCGGCGACGCGGGCGCCTACGACGCGCCCGGCTCCTACGGCCTGCAGCAGGCCGCCGGCGCCCTGTCCGAGGGCCCCCGGGGCCCCGCCGCCCGCTATGGCTCCCGGGACGACCTGGTGGCCGGCCCCGGCGGCGCCGGCTTCGGAGGCGCCCGCAACCCCGCCCTGCAGGCGTCCGTGACCTCGCTGTCCGGCGTGGCGGCCGCAGCGGCCGGGAGCCGGGCGCCCAGGACCTCCTCCTCCTCCCTGCAGGCGGACCTGGCCAACAACAACGCCCCGGGGCCCCGGCCGGGGAGCGGCCCCCACCGGTCCCCCCTGCGCCAGGGCGCCCCCTCCCCGCCCCCCAGCACGCCCCGTTCGCCCTCCTACGTGGGCCCCAAAGCCGTTGCCTTCATCCACTCGGACCTCCCGGAGCCGCCGCCCTCGCTGGCCGTGCAGAGGTGGGTGCTGGGGGCGCGGCGGGCTTGCGGGCAGGGGGCCGGGCGTCCGGCTGGCGGCGGGACCTCGCGGCTGAGCACGTGTGGGGTGTCCCGAAGGCCTGAGGCCGCCTGTGGGGTGCACCTTCCCTGCCGGAGGGGGTGTGCCCCTCCAAGGACACCCTGGCATGCCCCAGGGGTGTGGCACGATCTGCACCTTAGCCTAAAGCTCCACATTCTCTCCCCCACCAATGCTAGCACAGCCTGTGCCTGGGGTCCCCCAGGCCTCCTTCCTCAGGAGAAGGTGCTCTGTCCCCGTTCAGGAGGCTGAGCCTGGGGCACCGCACCCTGCAGCTCGGAGCTGGGGACCTGGGCCCAGAGGGGCAGGCTGGCCCAGGGCCCCCCCCCCCCCCCCCCCACCCCCCCACGGGACATAGCAGCATCTTCGGGGCGTCCCCCGCCGCCGTGAGCACAGGCCAGGGCAGGGAGGCCCGTTGTGGGTGTGACAGGCCCGGCAGGTGGCAGCCGCAGAGGCAGGGATGGCAGCTGGAGGAGGGTGGGCCCCCTGCCCTCACGCCTGGGCAGCGAGGTCGTTGTTGGGCGGGCTTCCGGGAGGGAGGGCAGCCCCTCGCTTTCCCAGGAGGCAACAGGGAAGGAGCCGCACAGGTGTCCCTGGGCCCCCCAGCTCAGGGCATCGGGATGGGCGGGACGAGGGGCCTGGCTGGTGGTGTCCGCCTGGCCGCCCCACGCCTGTGGTCTTTCTTGCCAGCAGGAGGACTAAGGGTCCCGGGGGTGTGCCAGCTATTCTGATGTCTGTCTGTCCTGGGACAGCACAGTCCTCCCCCTCTGGGCCCGGTGTGGCCGCTGGTTTTGCGGGCGGCCCCTTCCGGGCTCAGAGGCAAGGCTGCCCAGGGCTGCGTCTGCACCATCTGTCCCGTGGCCTCGCCGGCCTGTGTCCTGCCGTGGTCGGTCCCTCGTTCACCGTGCGTCCGCCTGTGTGTGTGTTTGCTTTGATGCAGGGACCACCCTCAGCTGAAGAACCCCCCGAGTAAGCTTAACGGGCAGTCCCCGGGCCTGGCCCGCCTGGGGCCCACCGCCGGCCCCCCGGGCCCCGTCACCAGCCCCGCCCGGCACACGCTCGTTAAGAAGGTGTCCGGCGTGGGCGGGACCACGTACGAGATCTCCGTGTGAGGAGTGACAGCCACCCGCCCGCCCGCCGTGGCACGCCACGGGGACCTGGACCACCCCCCGGCGGCTGCCCCCCACCGGCCCCCGACCTCTCTGCCCCGACAGAGGCGGTGGCCTGGCAGGTGTGGACGCAGCGGCAGGAGAGAGAACCACGCCGCCTCACGTCTGTCCCTCGTCCTCCTCCTGTCCACCCCCTTGTCTGCTCGCCGGGGTGCGGCCAGGCCCCGGGCCACCGGCTGCAGGATCTGGGCCTTGAGGGTCACCGAATGCAAATGTGTGGACTGCACCCATGTCCCCTCGATGGCCCCCAGGCCAGCCCCCGCCCAGGCCCTTTCTAGAAGGGTCACGGTGGCTCAGAAACGGACAGAGGGTCTGGGTCCCGGGCCATCCCCCCCCGGACGGAGGGCCCACCCACCGCCTGGCTGACCCTGACCTGCTGCCTCTCAGGGACCCCCTTGGGAGACGTCTAGGGTGGCGAGGTCGCTTCTGCGGGGAGGCCCGCCCCCCGCCCGCAGCCGCCCGGCTTCCAGGGCTCCTCTGGGTTTTGACGGACAGGTGGGTGGACAGACGGACAGACTGCCAGCTGTGGGTGGGGTCCTGGCTCCGTGTGTCCCCGTGTCTATGCGCTGAGCTGCCATGCCTCGCCCCTCGCCCCACTGCCGGGAACCTCGCTGTCATTGAAGCCTTAACCTCTGCTTTATGCTCTTGTGGTGGCACCGGGGGCCGGTGGGAGCGGGCACAGGCCGGACGCGGCGCGGGGGGGCCTCTGAGACCGGGAGTCCCCCCCCCTTCCCTGCCACGCGAGGCGGCCCTGCCCGAGGCCTGCAGAGCCGGGCGCCAGAGCCTCGGGCCTGCGTGGGAAGCACACAGGGAGGTGGGGCGGGCGGGGCCAGGCTCTGCCCGGCGCCCGGGACCTGAGAGTAAGCACACAGCAGTGTTGGCTTGCGTTGTGTCTGTTTTATGTTTTTATATCTACATCTATATATATCTCTAATTTTATTAAAAAAAGAAAAAGAGTCATTTCGATCCTTTCCTTGAGCAAGGCCAGGGCTGTTGCTGGTACTTAGGGGGCTCTGGGGGTGGAGGAGGGGGCGGGCGTCCCGGCTCCGGGAGCGGTGGAGGCCGGCAGTGTGGGGTCGGACGTTCCAACGCGTGGGCATTTCTGCTGACTTAAGCGGAGCTGGAGGCCTGGGAGGTGGGGGCCGGCCCGCGGGTCTTTGGCTGACGAGCGTGCAGCTCCCCCGGGTCTGCGTCATTCCTGGCAGCAACAGGGCTTTTGGAGAAAGGCTGGGGCTGCAGCTGCCCCCGGGGGGGCCCCCCAGGAACCCAGGGCCTCCCAGGAGGTGGAGGAGGGGGTGCCTACGGGGCCCCCCGCTGGCTGGGGGCCCTGTGGGGGCCGTTGCCATGACCTTCAGCTGGATTCGCTGGGCCCCCCACCTCTGCCTGTTAAATGAGGAGTATGGGGGGGGCGGGGGGGGAGGCATCGGGAATGCACAGCTTTTCAGGACTCAGAGATGGGGAGGCGGGGGTCGGCCCCCGTGCGGGGAGGGGGGGGTACCCCAGACCTTGGACCCCTGCCCCGGTCAGCCTCACGCTGACCTCCACCTTCCTTTCTGCTTCTCTCTCACGGGACGCTGCGGCCCGCAGGGGGCGGATCGGCACTTATAGCCGCGGATGGGGGCGCCGGGGCCTGTCCGGGGCGCCCCCCGGCCTGCACCTGTGCCACCTCGGCCTCCCCGAGGACCGCCCGCTGCTGCAGGCCCCCTGGAGCCCGGCCGCAGGGCTGCTTCCCCGAGGAGCTGTGTGCCGCCTGCACACAGCGGCCCCCGGCCTATCCCCCGGCCTCGCGGGGCCCGAGCGGGACGCCACGTAGGCACCGCGGGACCGTGGGGAGGCCCGGCGGCCACGGGCCCAGCCCTGACGGACTCCCCCGCCCACCGGGGTCCTTGACCGGGGGCCCACCCGCCTCAGGAAGCTCCCGTCTGCCGCAGGGGGTCCAATGCCCCCCAGGCGGGGCCCTCGGAGCTGCTGGGACCCGCACGGCCTTCCTGGGGCGTCACACCATCGCCTGACCTCCCCGCCTGACCAAGCACCTTAGACACCACTTCCTCCCCCGGAAGCCCGGGCCCCTGTGGAAGGCTGGGCTGGGCTGGGCCGGGGGTGGGCGGGTCTCAGGGTGTCCTGCAGGTCGCCGCCCTCACCCCTCCCTGAGCCCAGTGCAGATGCCTTAATGTCCCGGAGCCACCAGCCTGCCCAGCCTCTGCCCAGGGAGCCCGCTCTGCCCTGGCCCTGCCCGCGGTCTCCGCTCCTCCACTCTGAGGTGGATGCCTGCGCGCTCGGCCCCTTTCCCTGCCTCCGCGACCGCTCTGCCTCTCCCGCGTGGTGGGGAGCAGGCCACAGAGCTCCCATCGTCCTCGGAGGTATTCCTTAACGCCCTCAATAAAACGCTTGGTGTTCACCTCCACCGCTCTGTCCACCACCAACGTGGCTCCGCCCCTGTCCTCTGGGTCCTGGGCAGTCCAGGAGGCTGGGCTGGACAGGGACCCTGGGTTGAGGAGGGCACAGGAGTGGGGCGGGCGGTGGTGGCCGGGTGAGTGTGGGGAGCTTTGGGGGAGTCTCCTGGGCAGGGCCTGAAGTTAGGTGAGAGGTATGAGGCTCAGGCTGAGAACCCCACTCCTGAGGAGGCTGGAGCCCTGGGGATGCCCAGTCCTCACTCCGTGGGGAGACCCTCCTGGTCACACCCTCTGCTCAGCGCCCTCTGGGTGCCAGGGGCAGACCGGGGGCTTGCTGTGGAGGGGCCGCCATCCAGCGGGCAGGTGGGGCATGAAGGCCGGCCGAGATGGGGTGCCACCCTGAGGGACCCCCTACTTTCAGAGTAGCTCCAGGCTGCAGCCAGGGTCCCCCCATCTCCATGGAGACAAGCTCAGACGCCGTGTGTGTCACCACTGTATGTCCAGCCGCACGCAGGACCGGCCCCTCAGGGCAGACCCCGCCGCCCCGGTCTCCGAGGCTCCGGGCGGGCGGTGTGCGCAGCACCGCGGGCGGGGGCGGGGGCGGGCTCGGCGGCTGGGCGCCCGGGGCCGTGCTGGCCGCCTGCCGCCTCCGCGCTGGGGCCGCTGGGCCTCCAGCCTAGAAGGGCAGGAAGTCGTCCACCTCGAGGCGCAGGAACGGGCTCAGCAGGGCCCGGAGCTTCCAGACGGCGGCACGGCTCAGCAGGGGCGGCACCAGCCCCTCGAAGGGCGTGGGGTCCACCACGTACACGTAGGCGGCGGTGCAGGCCAGCAGGGCGCCCAGCAGCAGCCTCAGGGCCAGCAGCCTGTGGGCGGCGGCGGTCAGGGGGCAGGGGCACCTGGGGGGCGGCCCCGGGCGGTGGGCGGGGGTACCGGACTCTGCCCGCACACGCATGCACCACCTACCAGAGCTGGCCTCGGAAGCCCTCGGAGCATCCCAGCTGGGGCAGCACCTTCTGCAGGGGGGTGGGGAGCTAGTCAGAGCCTGCCCTTCCCCGTGGGATCTGGGTGCTGCGTTTCTGCCCCCCATGCCCAGGATGGGCACCTGCAGCCGTGTCTCCCCGCTGAATCTGACCCCGTGGCTCCTGGGGGGTCGCCCACCCTGGGCCTCTTCCACTGCAGCCCCCCTCCCCACCCCCCGCCCCAATCAGGGCCTTCGGGGTGGGAAACTGGGGGAGGGGCGGGGCTTACTGATAAGCACAGGTCCTTCCTTGCCTGGCTGCGGCACTGGGCGCGGTCCCTGGGGGAGGCGTACCGTCAGGGCCACGGGCACTCCCTACGCCAGCCTGGCACCGCCCCTGGTCTGGTGCCACGGAACCGGGGAGGGGTTGGGGATTGGTGCATCCCATCCTGAACAGGATGCCCCCGCGGGCACCATCCCAGCCCAGTGAGCCACGCCCGCCCCCCACCAGCCCCCGACAGCACAGATCACCCCAGAATCTCCAGCTGGATGTCCTCCATCTGGTCTAGCACGCCCCGGATGTCCTTCTTGAGGTTCTAGGGGACAGAGGGGGGTCAAGAGCCCTCCACCCCTGACCCCATCACCGCCCTGCCTCACCACCCACTCACTTCCTGCCTGCCCCCTCCCCTAGGTATGGCTCTTCGGGGACCTACCTGGAGCCCGGTGGCCTGGTTGTTCAGGGCCATGTGTACCTCGGCCACACCATCCCACACCTGGCGGGGGGAAGGCGAGGTCAGGCCCCCAGGAGGTGCCCTACCCCGGGGGGGCCCCCCGCGCCCCTCCCACCCTGGCCGGGCGGGCACCTCGGTGATGGCCATCTTCTTCCTCTCGAAGGACAGCCGGATCTGCTGCAGCTCGTTCTGGGGGAGGAGCACGGGGTGGGGTGTGGGCGGGGCCGTCGGTGGGCGGCTGCAGGAAGGCCCCGCTTCCCCCCGCCACCCAGGCCCAGTCCAGGCGCCCACCTGGGACTGCTGTACGAAGGACTCCTCGCCCCGGCACAGCTCCCGCCGCAGCAGCTGCAGCGGTGCCCTGTCCTCCAGGGGCCTGGCGCCGGCCTGCTCCCGGGGCTGCGGGAGAGCCCGGGGTCAGCCTCCAGGCTGTGGGCGGCCCCTGGGGTCAGGGACCCCTTGGGGCCCGGAGCGGAGAGTGTGGCGGCGTCGCAGGGCCAGCCCTGGCCGTCGCCAGAGTCCTGCTGGGTCCCGGCCGCTGCCAGGTGGGTACTCACCCAGGTCAGGGCCGTGCAGCTCGAGTGCTCCGGGCACAGGGGCAGGAAGTGCTGCCCTGGTCCCAGGAGGGCCCCCAGCTGCTCTCGCAGGTCCTGGTTCTGTCTTTTCTGGGGGCGGGAGGAGGCAGAGAGGTGGGGCAGCCCGTCACGGCTGTTTCTTGGGCAGGAGACGCGAGGCGGCCGGGGCTGGGGCCGGGGCCGCAGGGCAGGGGGCTGAGGAGGCCCAGGAACAGCTGTGAGCTCCCCGCACAGGCAGGTGCCGAGCCTGGGGCCGGCCCCGCGGCCCTGGCTGGCGCCTCACTCACCAGCTTCTGGTTCTCCTGCTCCAGCTGTAGGAAGGACTGCTCTGCAGGCCCCATGGGCCCGCTCTGGAGCTGGGGGGAGGCTGGCCTGGGTGGGGCTGGGGTCCCTGCCCCCGGGGACAGGTGCTGGCACGGGAAGGGCCTGGGCCCCATGCTGGGGGGTCCCCCCTGCCTGGACGGGCCCTGCTCCCTTCCTGAGTGCAGGGGCCAGCCCCACTCCAGCCCTGCCGCCTCCATCGGTCCTTGCCTCGCCCCCGCTGGGTCCCGTGGCCTCTGCCTCTGCATCTCTCCCTCTTCGCTGGCGATAAAGCCCTCGGGTCCTTCACTGCCTACGCTGGGCCCGCAGCCCGCTGTCCCCGGGGCTGGGAAGGTTCCAGAAGACTCCACCGAGTGGGTGGAGCTGAGAGGCACCAGGCAGGGCCACCTCACAAACCCCTGGCAGGGCGGCGGCTCCAGGCAGCCTCCGTGGCTGCTCGAAGTCGAGGGTTGGGAGCACTGGGGGTGGGAGTGGCCACAGGGCCCCAGGGTTTTCGGTCCCTCCATGCTTCCCTATGACCCCTTCCTGACCCCAGGTCCAGGCTCTGGCCTGGCCAGACCTACCGCCCTCTGACTGAGGGCCCTCCCGGGGGGCCCTCCCGGGGTCACAGCTCCCAGGGCCGCCTCAGGGCCTTGGTCACAAAGGCCCGGACTCAGCCAGGGAGGTCACAATGGGCGGGCCCCTCCCACCAGGCATCCCTGTCCCTGAAGTGCCCACCTCCGGTCACCCCTCTGCATCCTCACCCCACCCCCCTGACCCACCCAGCTACCCACCCCACCCTCCACCCAGCTACCCACTCCACCACCCACCCAGCTACCCACCCCACCCTCCACCCAGCTACTCACCCCACCCTCCACCCAGCTACCCATCACCCAGCTACCCACCCCACCCCCACCCAGCTACCCACTCCACCACCCACCCAGCTACCCACTCCACCCCCACCCAGCTACCCACTCCACCCCCACCCAGCTACCCACTCCACCCCCACCGAGCTACCCA